GGCAGATTTCTCCTGAATGGTTTAACACCATTCCTGTTGGTTCTGCTGTCATAGTAGTGAGTTCTCAAGAGATCTGGTTGTTTAAAAGTTTATGGCACCTCCCCTCTCTCTCTCCCTCCTGCACTGACCAGAGTGCCTCATTCCTCCTTTGCTTCCTACCGTGAGGCCTCCCCAGAAGCAGATGCTGCCATGCTTCCTGTACAGCCTATGGAACCATGAACCAATTAAACCTCTTTTATTTCTAAATTACCCAGTCTCAGATATTTTGTTATAGCTATCTGAGAATGGACTAATACACCATTTTTCCAGACGTTAATTCTAAGTCTCTGGGTGATGTTTACTCTTCTCCTTGATGTCCTGTACCTTAAATACTATGATGTAAAGTTAATACATCTTATAGTATATAATAAAAAGAGGAGGGAGACAATAAAGATAATTGCTGTATACGTACACACACATATTCATAATAATTACAGTCCTTTCTGTAACTGATTATGTGATTATAGCTGTTATTTATAGATAAATTTCTTCTACTACTCACTTTTATTGTCCTTAGTAAGGACCTCAGCTGGTTGTGTTTCTACATCTGGTGGGGCAACCCAAACCTCCATTCTTGAATAGCCTGGGCCATTTGTAGTGAAATATAAATTGATTTATTGTAGTTTTTCATTGATTTTAATCACAGGGCATGGTTGTACTAATAGATGCTGTTATGGGATTAATGTTTGTGTCCCTCAAAATTTATATATTGAATCCCTAACCCCTAACGTGATGGTATTGGAGGTGGGCCTTTAAGAGGTAATCAGGTTTAGATGAGTTCATGAAGGCTGGCCTCCCTGGCATTAGAGTCCCTATAAATAGAAGAAAGGCCAAAATGGTGGCTCATGCCTGTAATCTTAGCATTTTGGGAGGCCAAGGCAGGGGGATTACTTGAGCCCTGGAGTTCAAGACCAGCCTCAGCAATATGGTGAACCCTACTCTATAAAAAATACAAAAATTAGCTGAGTGTGATGGAACATTTCTGTAGTCTCAGCTACTGGGGAGGCTGAGGTGGGAGGATCATGTGAGCATGGGAGGCAGATGTTGCAGTAAGTTAAAATCATGCCACTGCACTCCAGCTGTGTGACAGAGCAAGACTCACTCTCAAAAAAAACAAAACAAGAGAGAAAGAAAGAAAAGAAAAGGAGAAGAAGAAGAAGGATTAGGGAGAAGGAAGAGGATTAAGAAAAGGAGAAGGAGAAAAAGTAGGAAGAAGGAATAAAGACAAAAGACCAGAGTGAGCATCCACATGCGCTCTCTCTCTCTCTCTCTCATTCTCTCTCTCTCTCATTCTCTCTTCCACCTCCTCCTCCTCTCTCTTTCTCTCTCCCTTGACCCTGTAAAGATACAGTGAAAGGGCAGTCATCTGCAAGCCAGGAAGAAGGCCATCGCAGGAAACTGAATCAGATAGCACCATGAATCTGAACTTAATAGCTTCCAAAACTGTGAGAAATAAATGTCTGTTATTTAAGTTGCCCAGTCTGTATTTTGTTATAGCAGCCCAAGCTAGGACAGATACCCTAAGGGATGTTCTGCATTTTAGACATACTATTCCTTACCTCCATTGTACAGTAGGAATCCATTTATCACTGTAGAATTAGGATCAATCACCCCAGTCAATAAGGTGACACCTTTACTTATCTGTTGACTCAGAGGCATAAGGAGCCCAAAGTGGCTAGAGGACAGTCTTAAATTTCATTTCAATTGAATCACTATTTTATCTCCCAGTGGAAGCATTCCTCCCTTTGAAATTAAGACTTCTGTACTAGCATAGCTAGGATCATAAAGCAAGAAAGAAAAAACCTCCACCAGTGGGTAATATTTACCATGGGTAATACTGAGTGCAATTCCTGTTCAACCTGTTGATTCCTGTGCCCATGAATCTTGGCTATGGGAGAAATTTCTCTTTAGGTATTCATATTGGTAGACAACAAGTATTGTTATTCCTCAATTATCATTTTTCAAATAGTGATATATTCAGAAAAATGTAGGTTTTGTACTAAAAATGAAAAAGGTACAAAGAAAAAAATACATCTTTGATCAAAGGGTACAAACTTACAGTATTAAGTGAATAATCTCTGGAGATATAATGTGCAGAATGATAACTACATTTATTTAATGATAATATATTGTATATTCAAAATTCACTAAAATATTGTACAGCTTACATGTATTTACCACGCGAAGATAAAAAACCAAGAAGATAACTACGTGAACAACTGCATATGTTAATTAGCTTGGCTATAAAAATTGGTTTTATAATGAATATCTATTTTAAAACATCATATCATAACCTTGAATATATACAACTTTTATCTGTCAATTATATTTCAATAAAGCTGAAAAATGTAATGAAATATACATAAAAACAATTTATTTGGAGTTCCACAATGTTTGTATTTCTAGAAACAATAATCCCTGAATAATATCAGATGTATCCTTCTACAATATTAGATGAGATTAAAATCAAATTAATAGTGTATGTCTTATTTCCAGTCAGCTATTAGTCCATGGCTTTCAGTTATGCTGCTTGTTTTATTTTCTAACAGGAAATTCTCTTTTTATGAGTATTTGGGGGCATTTTTATAGTTTTTATTTTCTTTTGCATTGCATTTTCCCCCAAATTCAACATTCTCCCAAACAGATACTATCCTCTATAATTTAAATAAAAATAAAATACCACAATTATAGAAAAAAACGAGAAATAACATGGAAAAAATGTATACAGTTCCCAATTTTCTGGTAATTCTGATATAAAAGAGATGCTAGCAAACTATACTTGTCTCTTTTCTAATGAAATTGATGTCATTTCAATGAGTTTTATTACTTCTTAAAACTTGTAACATTTTACCAAGTCCTAAAATTCTATATTTTAATACTATATTGGGCTTGAGCAGAACCAAATAAATATTTACTCTATTTCCTACCCAAGGAGTAGTTAAGAGACAAACAAAAGGTAAGAATAATAGGAATAAAATATGAATGCTACTGTGAATGAAGCAGAGGTTAAAGCAGAATGCTGGGCATGCAAGCTTCCTGTATACTGAACAAAAGAACTGGGCTTTTAACACAATCATAACAGATACTATGAAGCAACTGGAAGCTTCCCTTCACAGAGACAAAATCTACCCTCATGAAATAAACACCATAACAGATTTATGTGGAATTACAGTAGGAAAGAGGAAATGTGGGTGAGGTGCTTGGAGAGAGACCAGAGGTATTAAGTTTAGTGGAGTTTCTCTTCCTGAGAATAGAATGAGGGAATAAGTGTTCACTCAACACCCTAACATCATCTGTTTACTGCCTTTTGTTTATGGTGCCTTCATAGAATCCCAAATTGCAGCTTGTACAAAAGAAATGCCAATATCTAAGTAAAATATTAAGGGGGAAGGTTACTAAGCTATTCTCCCACAAAACTGACTCTCCCACAAGAGTGAAAGAGAAATAAAATACCCTATTAAATAACTAACTGAGAAGAAGAATGAAAATTACTATCCTCAAAAGGTAGAAATAGATAGAAAGTTAATCAAATCAACTATTCTAAGAAGTTATATCCACAATTTTGTTTTCCTGTGGATTTGCAGCATAAATTAACAGCAACTATGGTTAAACATTCTCAATACTAGAATTTATTTTATTGGGACCCCAGGAGTGGTCCACTAGGCAGCTAATAAAAACACATGCAAACCTTATTTGAGAAATGCCTCCATTTTAAGACCTGAAATCAATTAGGCACAATTTCAGGATAAACAATTTCCCCATCAAAAATCAGACATATGAATTGCAAATAATAAACAGCAGAATCAGGACAGTAAAACATCAAATACTATAATGATAAGTCCCAGAATATAAATTAAACATTTAATATACTTAAAATAAAAATATGGGTAAATAGTAAGAAACATTATAAAAACAAAATACTTAGGAATAAAAGTAAAATAATTAACATTAAAGTTTCATATTATAGATTCAACAACGTATTTGGACTAAGCCAAAGAGAGAATTAATAATCTAGAAAAGGCTAAGAATATTACTGAGAAGAAAGTACAGATACATAAAGGTATTAAAAATTGTAAAAGAGAGATAAAGAAAAATGGATATCTAAATGAGAAGGTCGGTAGTGAAACACACTAAAATGAATTACTATACTCTAGAACTAGATATATCTGAAATAAAATTTAATACAATATTGAGTTAAAATAGCAAGACTGGAAGACAAATAGAATTATCTTTTTGTAAATTAAACACCATAAAAACAAATTAGCTATTACTTACTTATAAAAAAACAGCAACAAAACTATACAGCTGCAACATTCTGTTACATTCATTTGTGACCTTGAAGCCAAAAATGAAATTAAAGATATGTCTAGCGAAAGAAAAGTTTAGAGACTGAAATTCTTAGTGGGTGACATCTTCAAGCTTTCATACCAGTTCAGAACTGCCTATCCTGTTTCATGATACACAACAACACTTACCTGTTAGTGTTTGTTAGTTGTTTTCTATTAGCATCAGCTGAAAGAATCTGCAGATAAATGTTCCTAACAGCTTCATATAAGCATTCCATTCATACCTTGTTTACTTTAGAGTATCATATTTTAAAAATATGCAGCTTTTTTGCAAGTGAAAATTCTCATTTTAATATTATTACTTGAATATTTTATATCACTCTTGGTATTGCAGATGTCTTATACACTTATTAGTCATTACATAGTTTTCTTTTGGAATTTTTGTTATATAATCTTTATCTGTTTATGTCTTAGAATAATCATATTATTAATTATAACGTGTTTTATTTGATAAAATATTAATCTATTTGATGTTTACTTATTTTAAATATTACCTACTGATTAAATTTATTTTACTAGACACATTGAATAATAGATACCAACATATTTAAAAGCAATATTGATTATTTAGTTTTTACTCACCCAAATAATGGGATTTTGGTTTCTCTTATAACCCTCCTACTCTCAGTTGGCTTTGCGGAGGCAGAAAAGTGTGACACCTTTTCTTACCTAAATGTCCCAAGTGTTGCAGCCAACAGTCCTATAACAAAAAGGAAAAAAAAAAAAAAAAAAAAAAACAGGTTAATGAGAAAAGCACAACTAATTAATTTAATCACAATTTTTGGTGACATGAAAGTCTTTAGAAATGAAGACCTAAGACACGGGAAAAAGGATTTTTATGCTTATGTTCAGTGAAGAATGAACAGCCACATAGAAATGTAATTGGTCAAAGTGTGTCAACTAATGGTAATAGACTGAGCAGAGAAACTCATCAAGTCCTATTTGTTGAGACTCCTTTTGGATTCTCTGTAGCTTTCCTTCCTCCCAGGCAAGCAACAGGACTCCTCTGGAATGAGGGTTTTCAACACAGAAAGAAAAGGGAGAAAATGAGCTTTCTAGATTATATGGCTTGCTTTGGGAGAGAGGAGTTCTAGTTTACATGGCCTGTCTTAGAGAAGAGAAATTCTGGTTTCTATGACTTGCATTTTCTTCTGGTGACGAAGAATGGACAGGAATCAAAAGGATGAGAGGTTAGAGAGACCTTGCATCTGAGGCTGATCTCTTTAAGTTAAAAGTTACGCAGCATGCCAAGGTGCCATATTTGGAGTATTGTTTTCTGAGCCCCAACAGCTTTGTTTACACACAAATATACCCACAAAATATATTGCTTCTTTTATCTAGTACTATGCTATTTAACAGGTAAAATTTCCTCTTGTTTCTAGTAGAGGAGGTGCTACTTTCATTTCTTTGAAGTGATCAATAAAATATTAATGTGATTTGGTTAAGAATAGAATAAGACATATTGTCATATAATTTGATCCAAAATAAGAGATAGCTAAATTAAGGAAAAAAATAATCTTTAGTGAATATTTTATCAAAGCATATCTACTAGAAAATATGCTTCTGTGTAAATCTGTCTTCTAAAACTTTTTATGTCCTGGAATGCCCTTCATGATATTGCTCCAAATAAAATGTCTTATTTCACATCTCTGACAATTATTTTCCATCCTTTCCAATAGATATTAATTCAAAATTTGCTTTCCTATGAAGTTTCTCCAGCCAACTTGATCGATTCATCTTTTCTTACCTACTCATAGGTGATTTTGGATCTTTATAACTCTAGCTTAATTACAATGACTGCCATATGAGTGCCGTTATTTTGTCTATATCCCTACAATATTTAACCCAGTTTGCTGCATTTAGTGAATTCTCATAAGATACTTGTGGAATAGTACTTTATAAAAAGAACCCATTCTGCCAAAAAAGCTTGGCTGTCTCTGATTACTCCAGCCTTACCTCCTATAGATCACTCATAACAATCTGCTCTATTCTGATCAGAACTCAATAAAGAACATATATATGTAAGGTGGTATTATTTTCACAGTAGAAGGTGTGTTTTACTATCAATCTATTATCTGACATGTCTAGTGAAATAAATTTAATCAGCAGCTAATATTTGAAATAAACAAGTGGAAAGTAGTTTAATATTCTTATCATATGACACATTTTAGAATTAATAATTATAAAAACAGTCTAAGATTCTGCCACTCTTTTGGTGCACATTTAGTGAAAGCCCAAGCCTTACAATGAGAAGGATAATGAAATATTACTCCAATTTCTCTAATGTTGCAGGGCAGGACAGTTAAATTTTTCTCAATATAAATATTTACTCAGCTACTGCTCATGGATATAACCATGGTTTAGGGTCTTGTCAGATGTAAGAATTCAGCAGAACTAATTCTCTATGCCTGGAGGTAATAGATTAGTACTAGTAACAGTTGGGCTCTTTGCATCTAGGAGGACCATCAGACAGAATGCACAGCATGGGAGCCATTTTAAAATGGAAGAGTTTATTTTATTTATTTAGAATGTATCTACTGAGTGTCAATATTAACAATCACAGTGAATGAAGATGGCATTTAGTTTATTTGGTGGTTGCTGTTGATACAGAGCAGTTTAGAGTATCTTCTAACCTTGACAATTTGAGCAATGAAGATGCAAAAAAAATAAAAGATGTATATTGTAAAGTGCAAAGAGGTGTAAAAGGGAAGAAAATGAATATGTGCTTGTGCAAATTGAAAGATAATGTTAGCAATGAAGTGATTGCCACTCAAGAATCATATATCTTAGGCAAGTATTATAGAAGAATGAAGAAGGATGAGACAAATAATTCATGTAAATTGATGGAATAAACATCACTCTAATTCCCTTGTAGAAACCCTGTGTTAGAGGATCCTTAATTCCATTCTCTGTGTTTCCAGTAACAGGAATAACAAAGCAGCTGCAGTCATAGGTACATTACTAAATCCTCTATTTTATTAGAATATAATACAGAATTGCAAGCTTATGCATACTGATTGTTTCCTTTGCTAAGCAGAAGCTTTTTAGCTTGATGTAATCTCATTTAACTATCTTTGTTTTTGTTGCTTGTGCTTTTGAGCTGTTACTCAAAAAATATTTGCCCAAACCAATATCCTCAAGCATTTCCCAATGCTTTCTTCTAGTGGTTTCAAAGTTTCAGGTCTTATATTTAAATCTTTAACCTATTTTGAATTGACTTTTATACATGGTGAGAGATACGGATCTCATTTTATTTTTCTGCATATGGATATCCAGTTTTTCTGGGACCATTTATTGAAGAGACTGTCCTTTCCCCAGTGTATGTTCATAATTTGCTATTTCTTGTGGAGAAAAAAAATAGTGTATAATTTCCTCTAAGCACTGGATCATTATATCTTTGACCAAGATGCCTGAAGATTTTAAAAATCTGAGCCAGGAAATATGTGAAAAAAATAAAATCATGAATGTCAATTGAAGTATATCATTTGTAATCACAAAAAATTGAATCACTATGATTTTCATGTTTGTCCCTTCCAGAACTTATATTGAAATTTGATCCCCAATGCTGGAGATAAGGCCTCATGGGTGCTGTGTTGGTCATGAGATCGGATCCCTCATGAATAGATTAATGTCTTTTCTCAGTGGTGAGTGAGTTCTCACTCTACTAGTTCCCACGAGAGAAGATTGTTAAAAAGAGCCTGGCACCACCCCATTCTCTCTTACTTCCTCTCTTCCATGTGGGCTCAGTGTACACCAACTCCCATTTGCGCTTCTACCATGAGATACAGCGTCCCAATCTTAAATGTTTCAGCCACCAGAATCATGAGCCAAATAAACCTTTCATCTTTATAAATTGTCCAGTCTCAGATATTCCTTCATAGCAACACAAAACAGACTAAGAAAACTTCCTACACAGAAGAAAAGAGGCACAAACTATGCCACATCAAATGGCTTTTTGTTACAAACACAAACATCTATGTTGAGTCTGATCAATCATGCATACTCCTTCCCTACTCCCTAGATCCCCAGTCCTGGATGCTGAATGAAGGAGTTTAAGGTGGAGAGGTAGGAAAGCTGGACTTCAGGTCATTCTATGAGATCTTTCCAAGAGTGGGCAGAATCCCCTTCTGCTATAAAATTAATTGACCAGAAAGGCTGCTGCACAAATTTGGTTTCTGACTTTAATTGAGTTGAATTTGCTGAAATTATTTATTTGATTTTAAAATCTTTGAAATAGTTTTGAAATGGATCTTATAGCTAATTGTTGTAAAGCTATGACCTCCCTTAATACCTGTTGTTGGTAAGCATAAATGTATATATATTTATTGCTGCTAGTAAACTAATATTTAGCAAAATTTGCTTTTACTGAATTCATAGGTATGCCATTAGAATTTCTTTAAATATATATTTTTAATGCATTAAAACACTTTTTACTGAAATATTTGTCTACATATACTGAGGTTAACTATGTAAGAATTTGTTAAAATGTATTCTATTTTGCTGCTTGATTTGTATGAAATTTTACCCATATTTACCTTGTCTGCATGTGCCGTATAGGAATTAATTCAAATTTATTGTACATTTTGTCTTGCTTTCTACTTACCATCATTACTCAAATAAATTACAGTGTTTTCTTATACAGAGTTTTGTAGCCTAGTGTTTACCAGTATACAAATACATGTATTATTTCTGACTGTGAAGCCTTAAATTACTTTTTCAGTGCTAGTATATTAATGCTTATACAAAACTTATGTTTTACTACAGGATTTTATCATAACTATCATAACCTATACTATATTTATATCAATACAATATAATTTTACAACAAAATAACTTTAAAATTACTTTCAAAATATGTTAGAAAAGAAGTGCAGAAATTTAATTTCTTGCCCAAAATTTATCAGTACATTTTTTGGTAACTCGTTTTGCCTATATACCTCAAATTCTGGAAAATACAAGGTGGTTTCTGAGCACACAGAAAAAAAAAAAAAAAAAAACAAGCATTCTTTTAGGGTACATCACCATACAACTACCCCCAAAACAGTGGTCTCTTGGGAAACCAGAGCTATTGTGCAAATGTAAAGATCTCTAGCAGAGAGTTTACAGCTGATTCCTTTCTACCCTTCTAAGACAGCTGCTTTCAAAGTACAGTAAATAAGGTCAGATATACCACAATATAACTCAGCACAGGAGCTTAACTAGAATCAATAAGAAGATTCTCATGGACTTAGTAGTTACAGTAGTAAGACAGCAACTGAGCAATATTTTATCACTTAATTTTTGTTCCTAAAATCATAGCTAGCTTATATTTATATTACACACCAAAATACTGGATATTGAACACAGATTAGTACTTGTGATTACTAGTCATTGGCTATATCATCATTAATTCACAGCTAATTTACTAAATATAAACACTGAGTAAACTGCCATACCCCCTTGTCCCTTATATCAATATTACATTAGCCACCAAAATCTGTTTTATAATTTGCTCTGCTAGCATTTTAATTTTTCCACATACCTGTACAGCTCTGTTAATATTCTTAATATTCTTATTTGCAATGTTGTTTCAATCCAGACTCCCATGCACCTACATGCTCATCAAAGCTAAACAAAATAAAACACCACCAATTTAATGTTTCAAAGGAAAACATTTATTCCCTGGCTTGGATAGTTTATCATAATATTGTTCCTCCTCATATTTTCAAGCTTCTCTTCCATTACGACTTTCTCTCTGCTGTATACCACAGTTAAATTGAACTGCTTATTTCTTCAAAACTATACTTTTCATTATGTAGTCTCCTCTAGGTGTGTTGTTTTTTCTTTTTTATTACTGTCTTTTGAAGTTTACTCATTTCAAACACAATTTGAAAGTTCAATTTTGTTACACATGACCATAAAGAATTTTGAAAATTAAAAATTATCTCCTTTAAACTCTAACTATCCATTCTTTGCCCTGTTATGACACATTACCCGCTTTCTTACATGGTAAACTTTATTCATGTCTAATCTCCCTTTCTATATTACAAGCCTAAGGTCAGATGCTTATACCATTTTATATTCCTCATTGTACCTTGCTAGGAACCTGTGTGCAATTCATATTTCATAAATATTTACTAATGAATAAAGTGTTGTCACTAAAATGTAAAGGATTTTGAGAACACAGATATATCAACATAAATTATTAGTTGTTTTTCCAGTTGATTGTATTTTGATCCAAGTGGCTAATGCCTGTAAATATATGATATAAGCTCACTTATTTTTTGAAAATAAATAGTAATGTATTAACAATGTTATCCTTAAGTGTAGCCAGTTAGTGTGTAAATACCAAGGCTTGCAAATGTCTTGGAGATTCAAATAAAAAAATAACATCTAGTATTTGTAAATATTTAGAAGTAATTTTCCTTGATAATATGTATGCCACTACTATAAAGATGAATGAAAATATAAATTTAATTTTTAAGTTACTCCAGTTAAAAACGAGTATGTTTAAACATTGTTTATTTCTTAAAATTAGGAAAAATATGTATCAAGTGAGGTCCAGCATACTGTTTCATCTCTCTTTCTGCTCCCAGATGTCCTCACAAATATTACATCAGAAATTCTAACTTGAAAAGATATTTATGGAAGTGATTAGAGTGGAGATACAGTTCTTTTTACCAATATTATGTTAATATTCAGTGCAGCATGCTATAATCTGTTTTTAAAATAAAAGGATATATGAGGGCATCACATTTTAGCAATTACTTTGTGATTCTCTCCATATCCATCATCAGAAGGGATAATAGGCCCTTTCTTCCTTCCCTCCGAAAATGTTTGTGCAAATGATTTAAACAAAACCTTTTAGATATCACTTACTGAGAAGAGGTGTCCACTGGTTTTGTTTCATGTGCCGAACAAGTCGATCCCATAAAGAGGTATTTCAAGTCTCACTAATAAATCACAGGTTCCAAGGATGATATGGAAGACACAGAATCAGAAGGTTGGAGACACTCTGTAGACAAAAGTAATGGTTATTTCCAATGTAGACTGATGATATTATTAAAGGTTCCATCTAATGCCTTAGCAATATGTAGATTTCAGGTCTTTGCAGTGCTTTGGGTAACAAATGACATAATACTCCCCAAAACAACCAGAAGAAGTTTTAGCAACTAACTTACAAAATTTCAGGGTAGTTGAAATTTTTTATATCCCTGAGGTAAAGACCAAGATTCAGTGAACATGAAGTTATTACATAGTCTAAATTTTTATTTGCTCTGAGGAGCTCAAAGCACTATTCAGGTCCTAGTAAATGTTTTCCCTATGGATAAATAATAATAAATAAATTATTGTAAAAATTATGCAAATTATATCCAATAATTCAATGTGAAAGTGAATAAAATACTTAGGTTATTTCAAACACTTAATGCACTATCAGAGAGTTTCCAAAGTACAATGGTAGTTTGAAGATTGAGTTTCAAAAAATCATATAAACTTTGTCAACATGATATGATAGTTTGGTTTCTGCCAAGATATTAATTTTAAAAAATCTTTGGTAGTTTGAAAAATAACTGCTTTTATAACTGTTCTATATTTGCATAATGCTTTCTAGTACTCATGAGCAATAATAATCTAAAATTTTTCACCAATGTGGCTAAAATCCCTCAAGTCATTTGATTTTTATGACATTCCTTTTAGCAGATGAGTATTATTAACATAATACAAATAAACCAAATATACACTTTTCCAAAGCATATATAGCATTATACTAATTCTTTTAATCATTCCATTGTAAAAACCCACACAATAATGACAGGTGTTTAATACTGATAACATACGATTGTATCTTTTTTTTTTTTCTTTCTCTTTTTTTTTTTTTTTTTTTTTTTTTTTTTTGAGATGGACTCCAGTCTTGCTTTGTTACCCAGGCTGGAGTTCAGTGATGCAATCTTGTATTACTGTTACCGCCACTTTTCTGGTTCAAGCGATTCTCCTGCCTCAAACTCCCAAAAAGTTGGGATTACAGGCATGTGCCGCCACACCTGGCTAATTTTTATATTTTTAGTAAAGACAGGGTTTTACCATGTTGGCCAGGCTGGTTACCTACCTTGGCATCCCAAAATGCTGGGATTACACGTGCGAGCCACTGCACCCGGACTTTATCTTAAGCGAACATTTTTAAATGTTTCTTTTTTCTTCTCATATTAGTAATAATCATTTATAGCATACATTACATTTTAAAAGGTGTACTATTTTAATTATTTACTTTCATTTAAGTTTTTAAAATATTATACAATTTTTATAAACTTACACTTTGAAAATACATAAACTTTTGCCCAGTAACTAATGAACAGTTTGCTTTTGTGTGTCAAATACAAGTCTTAATTTTCCATATCCCATGGTATTTTCCTCATACTTTGTCTCAACCACTTGTCATTAAGATTTTGTACCACCAATCTGCATAAAGCTATTTGGTTTGATATATACATAGCTATCTCATATTTATATATATATATATATGTAAACATTATATATATATAAACATCATATATATAAACATCATATATATACATCATATATCTATACATCATATATATACATCATATATATATACATCATATATATATACATCATATATATATATATATATATGTATATGTCACAGGATCCTTTGAGTGTCACTTAGCCAGCTGGAAACCTCTGTGGCTGGCAGCACCTTTGCTTGAGTTTTGCTTGCACCCGCTGAGCTGATTTCGCCCACTCAGCTCTTCAGGATGCACTAGGCTCACTCACGCTGCTGGCCCGGATTCCACTCTGGTGGAGGTTGAGCCAGGCCTGGAGCAGTGAGGGGTGTATGAGTGAGTGAGTGCAAGGCCTAGTCACTGCCCGCAGCCAGGTGCACCTGCTCCTCCCGCAGGGCGTGCAGCTCCAGGCACTGTCACAGGCGCCAGCTGTGTGAGAGACTGTGGCTGGACTAGACATACCACCAGCAGCTTCCACTGCTGGAACTAGCATCTGGAAGAGCGGAACACTGCGGCTCCTGAAAACTTGGAGACACAAGCAACTGAGGAGTCCAAAGGAGTGAGAAGAGACCGTGTTCTGTGATGGGTGGCCTCATCGCGCTGTTGCTGCTACTACTGGTCTTCGCCGTGGCGCTGTATGCTCAGCGACGTTGGCAGAAGCGTCGCCGCATCCCCCAGAAGAGTGCAAGCATGGAAGCCACTCATGAGATCCAGTACATCCCATCTGTGCTACTGGGTCCACAGGCCCGGGAGAGCTTGCGTTCCTCCCGGCAGCAAACCCACAATTCCGTCATCGGCGTGCCCATCCGGGAGACTCCCATCCTGGATGACTATGACTGTGAGGAGGATGAGGAGCCACCTAGGCGGGCCAACCAGGTCTCCCGCGAGGATGAGTTTGGCAGCCAGCTCTGGTTCCTGCAGCCCGCAGCTTGGTTAGCTGTGGGGGCGAGTTGGGGGTAGGTGTGCTACTGCTCTTTCCTTCCGGCTGCCCGCAACTTGACCAGGGAAGCGAGGGTGTCTTCTTTAGCTGGTTCAATTCCGCAGCCTCACTCCGGCCCTTGACTCCGAGGCGGGCCCAGTCCCGCCACCACTTCCTATCACGTGGGGGCGGCTGCGCCTTGCGGCAGAGGGCGGGAGGCGTAAGATGTTACAGCTCTGACTCTGGGTATACCAAGGTCTGGGATTCCAGAAGGGTCTACCCTTCTCATGTCACGGCCTGCAGCTTGGCGAGGTGGCCGGAATATGTTACAGCTCCTTTTGCCCCGACCCACAATTTGGCAAGCCAGGAAAGTGTTAAAACCCTATTCACGCCCACAGCTTGGCCTGTCCTGAGTTCTCCTCACATATCCAGAAAGAATGAGGTTACACGGACAACTGGCAGGTAAGGCAGACAAAAATTTTATTAAACCACAGAACAGCTCTCAGTTCTGACTGAGAAGTGGGTGGCTCCTACCCTGGGGCACTAACTCCTGATGTATGGCTGAGTCCATCCAGAGTTTTTATGGGCTCAGAATGGAGAAAAGTGCATACTAATTGGACCGTTGGTGGGCCTGGAAATAGCACCATTTGGTTGACGTAAAGGAATCAAGGAAGTTCTCATTCTGGAGTGTAGATTCTACCTGGAACTGGAACCCCAGTTTTCAAGCTTCGAGGTGTGTTTGGCTTGAATGTCAGATTTCACTGGGGACCCACCTCTATCTGCCTAGGAATTTGTCTGCCTCCTGCTGCTATTTTATATATACATAAATGTTTATATGTACTTGTAAATCTGACAGCACAATGGCATGTCACAAAATGAAGCCTTAACATTATCAAGCAACTATTTAATATAAAAGTAGTAATTATAATTCTAGACCTCCAGAGAAAATCTTATACTATTGCAAGAGGCAGTAGTATATATTGTAATAGGCTCAATCCAGATTTAAATTTATTTTGTATCTATACGCTAAATAAAATATTCTGATTCATAATCGAATGCTAAACATGTTTGATTTAACAACTTAACTGTTGTGGAATTTTTTTTTAGTAACAAAGGCAATTTATTATATTTATTATGATTATTGGATTAAATCATCATTCACTTTATTTGAGCCCAAGAAACCTTAGTAGCTTATGATCACTCTATTCAAAATACAGGGGAGCAGTGGTCTAGGTGGTAAGGTAATATAAGCAAATAAATATGAGTCGACAAAATAATTCATTTTTGCCTTCTTATGGATAGCAATAAGGAATGGACAGTACAACACAGAATAAAAGAGCAGTGTAGGTAAAAGCAATGTAATAACAAAGATAAAAATAATGGAAACATCAAAGGTGGAGAATATTAGAAAGTATTATTTTAATTTTAGTTTCAGGAGTACATGTACAGATTTGTTGTATGGATATATTATCTCACGCCTAAGTCTGGGCTTCTAGTGAACCAATCACTCAAATGATGAACATAGTACCTAACAGGTAGATTTTCAACCCTTGTCCTCCTGTTTCCTCCCCGCTTTGGAGTCCCCAGTGTCCATTGTTTCCATCTTAATGTCAGTCTGTAACCATTCTTTAGTGTCCACTTGTAAGTGAAATAAAGTAGGGGTAATAAAAAGAATAAATTACAGAATAAGAAAACAGGACTGTGTGACAGAATAGTTACAGAAACAATTTTAAAAGACACAAATGGGTTAGAAGAGAAGAAGAAAATAAAGACATTAAAAGATTTTTTTTATGCAGGAAACAGTATCCATGAAACAAGCATCCTGAATATGCTTGTGCTCAATTTTGTCCTATTGCTCACACCAACTTCAGTTATTAAAAATTGAAGCATGATACGCATATAAGAAAAAAATAGAGAAAGGAGGCAAAGAAGTAATATAACAATGAGTCAGTAAAAGGAAAATAAAAAAGAGAACTCAAAGAAATGCATGAAGCTAACAAGAAACAACTGGGTTTGAAGAAAGAAAAGGTGTGATTGTGCTCGGGGGATGCTTGTACAGGCATTAGTTTCAGTTAGCCCATTAGAGCAGGTTTAACAGGAAAAGAGAACAAGTCACATAACAAATATTTCTACTTTATGTCTTTCATAATAGACCCCAGCCTTGTCAGAATGCCCTGAGAGGAAATTAAATTAGATGATTTCATTGGAAAGTGATCTGGAGGCAAAAAGCATAGTTTAGAACCCTTAAGAGCCAGGACCTACTACATATTAGGAGAAATATGTGGTCAATGAAAAAGAATGCCTCAACAATAGAGAGTTTCCGACTTTTAAAAAAAATTTTCCTTCACTTTCTTTGCTTTGTGACAAAATATACATAAGTCTAGTCAACTGGCTCAGATCTGCCTTAGGAGCCTGGCAATAACGTTAAGGTACTCACCTGTATTCGGTTTCTGAAGTCAGATACTGCTATAAAATGCTGTTTGAGAAAGATTCTACTTCCCTCTAAGTGCACTCTTTTCTTCCTGAATATGCTTGTGCTCAATGTTCTCCTATTTGCTCACACCAGCACCAATTATTAAACAGTGATTCT